GATCAAGGTCCCTGAGGACTAAATTATGACATAGGGCTGGAGAGTTGATGTAGCCCTGATGTAGGCAAGTACAGGTATATTTCTGGCCTTGCCAGTTGAAGGCAAATTGCTTCTGGTGGTCCTTCAAAACAGGTATGGAGAAAAAGGCATTAGCCAGATCAATGGCTGCATACCAGGTGCCAGGAGATGTATTAATTTGCTCAAGCAATGAAACCACATCTGGAACAGCAGCTGCAATTGGAGTCACCACCTAGTTAAGTTTTCAATAATCCACTGTCATTCTCCAAGATCCATCTGTTTTTTGTACAGGCCAAATAGGTGAGTTGAATGGAGATGTGGTGGGAATCACCACCTCCACATCCTTCAAGTCCTTGATGGGTGGCAGTAATCTCCGCAATCGCTTCAAGGAGGCAGTATTGCTTTTGGTTTACTATTTTCCTAGGTAGGGGCAGTTCTAATGGCATCCACTTGGCTTTTCATACCATAATAACCTTTACTCCATTTGTCAGGGATTCAACATGGGGGTTCTGCCAGTTGCTGAGTGTATCTGTTCCAATTACGCATTTCTGAACCAGGGAAATCACTATAGGAAGGATTCAGGGACCCACCGGACCTACTGTAAGATGGACATAAGCTAAGACTCCATTAATAAACTGACCTCCATATGCCCGTACTCTGACTGGCTGGTCATAGTGATGTTTCGGATCTCCCGGAATTAGTGTCAGTTCAGATCTGGTATCCAGTAATCCCCCAAAAGTCTGATTATTTCCTTTTCCCCAATGAACAATCACCCTCGTAAAAGGCTGTAGATCCCTTTGGGAATGCTGGGAGAAAGATTAACAGTATAAGTTTTTGGCAGTGTATTGAAGTCCTTCCTCAAGGGGACCCAGCCTTCCCCTCATTCAAGGGGTTGTGGGTCTTTAAACTCTCTCAAGTCTGGGAATTGATTGAGGGACCGTGATTCTCTATTCTGGCGACTCGAGTTAGACTGCTGTTCACTTGACGTAGAATTCATCTGCTAGTATAGATCAAGTAAATATTTAGTAGATTTCCTATCTATTTCACTCCTAGGGACACCATGACTAAGTAGCCAATGCTGTAAGTCCATACGAGTCAGACTTCTGATTACTGCACTGACTCCGCTGTCCATTACGGTAACCACGCCACCTTGTCTTTGTCAAATAAGTGCCACCACTTGGCCCCTACCACCATGGGGTCCAATCAACCCAACTGTAGTTAGGTGTCTTAGTTCAGTTAGGTCAGTTGCCACTGTCAAATCTGACTTACATAAAACAGCAATCACAGCAGTCTTCAAGGATGCTGGAGCTCCCTTCACAAATTTGTTCCTCACAGTTGTGGTAAAAGGTATGTCCTCTGGGCATTCCATGTGTGGATCTGTGGGTCTAACCTGATAAATCCATTCCAGCATGCTAATTTCCCTAAGCCTTTGGATACCTTCTTCAACAGTACACCAAGGCAAGTCTGGTACTTCAACTTGATTTAGCGTAAGTCACTATGTAATCCATGCTTCAGCGACCCAACCAAATAAACTATTAGATCCTTTCCTAACTTCTGGAGCTGAAACACTAGATGAAGAATCTGTGCTTACTGGGCCCATATCAATAAACTCAGACTGATCCATCTTTATGTTCCCTGTACCATTATCCCACACCATTAATAGCCATTCCCATACATATTCCCCAGGTTTCTCTTTGCACATATTAGAAAAGTAAAGTAGTTCTTTTTGAGTGTAGCATACCTCCTCCTGGGTCACACTTTGTACTTAACCTTTTGGGGCTTATTGGGACTTAAGTCTACTTATATGTCTAGAAGCCAAAATAGGTGGTGGGGAAATGTTTTGGAATTTTCAGCATTGTCTTGTAAAGCATCTGTCTCAGGCAATGCCCCAGGCAATGATTCAGACAAAGGCTGTTTAGATGCAGCTGGGTTAATCTCATTAGATGGGGTGAAGGCGCTAATGGTTTTACTGGGGAAGGTGGTTTAGCAGACAAACATGGAGTAATCGCTACAGATGGGACTGAGAAGGCTGGTTCTGTTGGCAGGAGTGATTCAATGGAATTTAGGGGCTCAGTGTCTCCAGCTTCCTGATTATCTGCCCATATGTTCCCATCCCAAGTTTCAGGATCCCATTTCTTCCCAATCAATGCCCTCAATTTAACTTCAGACCCCTCTTGAGGTTGGCAGTTGAGCTGGCATTGTAATTCAGCCTCTCTTATGATAAGACTCTAGGATTGGTTTTCAGCAATATCAGACCTGTTACTACAAGAAATAAGGCTTTCTTTCAAGGCACAAGTGGAAACTTTGAGGTCGTTTATGTGGCACTTGAGCTCTGACTCTGAAGCCCTGAGCTCATCTCTTTCTTTCACAAGCTTCCTTATAATTCTCATTATGACAAAACCGTAGAAAGGTATCACACATGCAATCTCCCGGAGCCTCCCCTTTCACCAATACCTGATCTATTGGTGGTGATATTTTGCGTACTTTTATTGCCACTTCACGCCATGGATTAGCAGTGCCCTCTTTACAACTGAAAGCAGAGTCATCAACATCTTTAAGACTAACCAGACTTGAGAATCAATTTAGAAAACTCATCTTTACAATTCTGTTTCTCTAGAACCACTCTTGATACCAAATGTCTTAGGTTGGGTTCTCTAGAGAAACAAAACCAGTAAAGCGTGTAGGTATATATAGAGAGCGATTTATATCAAGGAAATGGCTTCCCCTGATTCACATAATCGCAGGGGCTGGTGAACCTAAGATCAGCAGGTCAGAAAGCAGGGCTCTTGCTCACAGGCTGCGATGATCGACAAATCCCAAGATCTGCAGGCAAGATCCCAGGTAAGCTGCTAGCTCAAGTCCCAAGAACCAGAGGTCAGATGAACAGGAGCCAGCTGCAGGATCCAGAAGGAGCAAAAGCCCATGAGCCTTGCCAGAATGTCCACTTACATTCGATGCAGGCCACACACCCAAGGAAACTCCCTTTCAACTGACTGGCTGCTCACAGCAGATCCCGTCACGGAGGTGGTCACATTATATCAAATCTCATCATGGAAGTGATTACCACATCATACAACCGCCAAACCACTGAAAATCACGGTCCAGCCAAGTTGACACACAACCTTACCCATCACACAAACTTTTAGGAAAAAAAAATAGGAGAAAATCTTTGGGATCTAAGCCTAGGCACAGCATTCTTAGATTTGACACTAAAAGCACAATACAAAAGAGGAAACTTGATATAAACTGGACCTCATCAAAATTGGTACTACGAAAAGATCCTGTAAAGAGGATGAAAAGACAAAGTATAAAGCAGGAGAAAATATCTGCAGACCACATATCTGACAAAGGACTAGTATCTGGAATATATAAAGAACACTCAAATCCCAACCATCAAAGAAAATAAACAATCCTATTAGTAAATGGACAAAAGACATAAACAGACAGTACTCTGAAGAGGATACACAGATGGAAAATAAGCACACAAAGAGATGTTCAACATCTTTAGTCATTAGGGAAATGCAAATTAAAACCACAATGAGATATCCCTATGCACCTGTTAGAATGGCTAAAATAAAAAAGTGACAACACCAAATGCTAGTGAGGATGTAGAGCAACTGGATCCTCATACATTCCTTGTGGAAATGTAAAATGGTACAGCTACTCTGGAAAACAGCTGACAGTTTAAAAAAAAAAAAAAAAACTAAACATGCAAAGAACATACAACCCAGCAATTCCACTCCTGGGCATTTATTCCAGAGAAATGAGAATTTATGTTCACACAGAAATCTATACACAAATGTTCATGATTTGTAGGTTGTTCTCTTTTTTGTTTTTTAATTAAACTTTTGAGATAATTGTAGAAGCACATGCATTTGTAAGAAATAATACAGAGAGATTCCCTGTACCTTAGCCTAAAACCTGAAACCCAGATGTCCAACAGGTGAATGGTTAAACTGTAGTACATCCATACCATGAATACTACTCAGCAATAAAAAGGAATGAACTATTGACACAGTCAACAAGTTGGATGAATCTTCAGAGAATTATGCTTAGTGCAAAGCCAATTCAAAGGCTATATACGATGTTATTTCATTTATATAACATTTTTGAAATTATAAAATTATAGAAATGGAGAACAGATTAGTGGTTGCCAGGGGTTAAGGACAGGGGGCAGAGGGAGAGAGGCTGGGGAGGCAGGAGGAAGTGGATATGGCTATAAAAGGACAACTCAGGGACCTTGTGGTGATGGAATTGTTCTGCATCTTGACTATATCAATGTTAAATCCTGGTTGCGATACTGTACTGTAGTTTTGCAAGATGTTACCATTGGAAGAAATCGGGTAATAGGTACAGGGTGTCTCTCTACATTATTTCTTACAAACGCATATGCTTCCGCAATTATCTTAAAATTAAAAGTTTAACTAAAAAATAAAAAAGAGAACAAACCCACAAATCATATTATTTATTTATGAGCACCTGCTATACTACGGCCAGGCCCTATTTAAGGTACTCACACGAATGTTATTTCTTTTTCAATCCTCATTAACTCTATAAAAATTATATCCGTTTCCCAAATGATGTTTCACGGAATATTGATTCTTTGTGACAACAGTAGCCTTCCTTGAGAGGTGTTACATAAAAGCGTTCCCTAGTCAAGTAGGTTTAAGAAACATAGGATTTTTCAAGTTTTTAAATATATTAATGTATCCTGTACATATTCAAAAGAAGGCCATCATACACAGCCTTCCTCATATTTCTTTGATTTTAGAACTCTTGTTTCATGTAATGCGTATTAACAACTTGCTTGAAGAACCAATATTCTTTGTAATATGCCATAATAAATGTTGGGTTATAGTTTTCTATCAACATCCCTGCTGGAGCTGGGTTTTTATTGTGTTATTTAAATTTAGGCTATAGTTTCACTGTTATAAGTCTGGTGATACTCTATAATCATAGTGTTGATGATCCAAACTACTTACCATGTAACAATATAAATAGATCGTAGTACTAATGTGAAGACCAACATTCCATACATGACCTGAATAAGAAAGTTAAATGAAATTAGTTGATCATTATTCTTTGGCAGAGGAAGTATACTTTACCCCCCAAAATAGCCATCCTGACTAAATGTGAACATTTCTTACCTTTCATTACATTTTAAAGAGCACAATTAAAAAAAAAAATTATTATTTAAAAAGGAGTCATGTCAACCTCGGAGGAATAATTAAGAGCCTGCCAACTAATATCAGAAGTCCTATGTTAATTTTAATTTTTGAAGGTTAGATGAAGTTTTAAATATCTGTTAAAACCTAAACAAATGTTATAATTTTGCCTCACACTCCCTAGCTTCACTTTCAGCAAATGATTGTGCTTCCTATTTCACAGATTATAAACCTAAACTCTTTAAACTCTCCTCCTAAATGTCTCTATGTTCTCAAGCATCCTCCCCCTGCATTCTGTCTCCATCCCTAGTCTCTAAAGAGACAGATGACCACTTCTTGACCAAGGCTAATCTATTCCCCTGGGTTCTTTATATGCTCCCACATCCTCTTAGATCTGGCTCTATCAATTAACCTCTCCCTCTTCTACATTAAGTATTGGGTGGGTACTACTACCTGGAAAATTGATCACAGGGGGGAAATTTAACTCTAGTTTAATCATTCTCTAATCTGTTCTCTACAATGCTGCCAAAATATTCTTTCTAACAAGCAAATCTAACCCTTTCATTCTTTTTCAGTCTCTATCTCCTGTCCTACAGGTTAACATCTAAATTAGCATGGCATTTGAGGCCTTGATCTGATTCCTGCCTACCTCTTGAGCTATTATCTCTTATCTCCAGGATCTTATAATATAGCCATAGAAACTATTTGTGGTCTCTCTATTAAACAGAATCCAACAAATATTTATTGAGCATTGTACTAGGCCCTGGGGATATAATGGTATGAGTAAAGGGTTAACAACAGGCCTGGGCTAATGCAGGCCTGCCAGAGGATGACCTTGGTTTTCCTGTACATTGGTTACAGCAGAGTTAAAATAAATGGAGAATGTTGCGTTCGCTTTGGTGGTTGTGAAGGACTGCACCCAGGTTGGAGGCTTTGGGCCTGCATGAGAACAATATAAAAGATACTCAATATAAAGATCGGTAGGAAAAAAGGGCTGTAGCTTCTATATGTTACAACAACCCCCACTACACTTAGCTCTCATCCTTGGCAACTATATATACCCTGTGTGGATGAGGGGGCAAAAGAAGCTGTGTATACAGATAGTTCTGTGACTCCTGATGAAATGAAGATGCCATACCTCCTGTATCCCTGACCCTGTACCTTCTATAAAGCTAAGTAAACATATTATTAGATTAAAACCTATTAAAGTCTTATTGCCATCTCGAACCCATAACTGCAGCTATACTTCTGTAAATGGTGAACAAGAAAGGCGTGATCCCTGCTCTCATGGCAATTACAATCTAATGAGAGACAAGTACCCAGGCAATTATAATACAGTATTATAACTCGGTGACAGGGACTGTACAGAGTACTTTGTGAGCACACAGGAAGGCCACCTAATCTAGACTTAGGGAATTCAGGAAGATTTTCATGGAGGATGTTTAATTTTGTATCTAAAGTATGAGTAGGAATTAGTCATTGCAGTGACTAACATTCGTGTGTGGCTTTTCTAGCTATGATCTTGTAACTCCCAACCAAGTGATTGGGTGGGACTGTGTGATAGGGTAATTGTGGCCTACCAAGGGGATTGGTCAGTTTTGTCTTAAAAGAGAGCCAATTCCAGAGCAGAGAGGAGGAGGAGCCCACCACCACCAAAGAAGGAGAGATCCAGCAGCAGGAGTCAGCACCGTGGGCTTCCCAGCCCAAGGAGCGAAAAACCTGAGTGCCTCTGGGCAGAGACTGATGGCCAGGGAGAGACATGACTGTGAGCACAGCTGGGGAGAAGCTATCCTGATGGAAGAACTGTGTATTCTGAGCGTTCCTGAGCCTGAATTTTAACTGTTACTTCCCTTATAATAAACCCCATAATTGTTAGTATGGTCTTTGAGTTCTGTGTGGCCACTGCAATGAATTATCGAACCTACCAGAAAAGTAGAGAGTACTATGTGAGGGATGGCTGGTATAAGAATTAGTAACGATGGTAGAAAGAGCAGGCTTGTCTGGCCTCTGCCTCACGGGAGTCAGCCTTTTGCTGTTGATCTTATTTCTCCTTCCCCCTTGTGGTGCTGGAGGAGAACAGACACTGCCCCCATGCTGGTTTTTACAGTCATATTAAAAGGTGGAAGAGGGTTACAAGAATAACTTATTCTGGGGACTAGAAGAAAATAAAGGAGCCTAGGGTATACTGTTGGAGGGAGGAGTGAGAAAAATGAAGAGGTAAGCAGAGTTCAAGTATGGCCTTTCAAGTAACGTTAAGGAGTAGGATTTATTTTAGGAGCCATGGGAAGTCAATGAAGGTTTCAGCAGCAGTTCAGTGTGATCAGACTTGTACTAGAAAGACGTCCCTGTCTTGCTGGGTGGAGAATGAATTAGAGGGAGGTAAGAGTGACGGGAAGCAGACCAGGTTATTGCAACAATCTAGGTGAGAGATGGTGACCCGAACGAGGAATGTACCAGTGGGAATGGAGAGAAGTGGACAGACTAGGGAGATATTTAGGGCTTGGACTGATTTGATACGGCAGTTAGGAAGAAGGAAAAGTTAAGGATGATGGCCTGGTTTATAGCTTAGGCAATTAGGTGCATGGTAAAATTGTTTACTGAAATTGGGAATATATGAAGAGAAGAAAAACTGGGGAGAAAAATGGTGAGTTCATTTCTGGATATGCTCAGAGTTTGAGGTGTCAATGAGATAACCGAGTAGAGATCTCTAGCAGAAACTCGATATCTGGGCTTAAAGTTTAGAAGAAAAATTTGAGCTGGGGAAACAGAAATCATGGGAAATGGGTTACTCAGGTAGTATCTGAACATACCAAATGACAGGTTAAGAAATGAACCTATATTGTGGTGGTACAATGGGGCTTTTTCAAAATGACTCTCTTTTCTCCAGAACCTTCCCCCTCCTCCCATGCCCATTACCTCACCACCCCGCCCCCCGCCCCCCACCGCACTGCTAGTGCTTTATCCAGTAACCATTCTCTTCTGATTTTATGAAGACTGATTTTATTCAGCTGGCAATATGTCCAGATATAAAAGCTTGATTTCTCAGGCTTCCTTGGAGCTAGATAGGCACATGACCTTAGCAACTTTTTTCTAAGACAATACAATACTATGGATAATCACTACTCTAATATTAATTAAAAAATAAAAATAGAATCAAGTATGGCCTTAAAAATTTCATCTGGCAATATGTATTTTACAGTGAATTTTTATATCTTTCCATATTAATTTTTTTCCATCTCCAAGCTCTAAAGACTATGCAAATATTATTTATTTTGTTTCTGCTAAAGCATCCTGGAAATATGCTGTGTGTAAACCAAGACCTCAGGAAAGGAGAACTAAAGCACATTGAGGAAAACAGAAAAAGACAAAACTGTTTTTGTTCTGTGAATTGGCATTATGATGCCTGTATGGAAAGAAATGAAGATGGATGAAACCGAGAGGTTAAAAAGGGAGTATTAAGTGGGATCTAGCTGTCATACTGAATATTGAATATACTATGGTCTGCCAGAAGAACAAACAAAACTGTCTTGGAAGAGGTACAGCCAGAATGCTTATTAGAAGCAAGGATGGCAAGTGTATGTCTCACATACTTTAGACATGTTATCAGGATGGATCAATCTCTGGAGAAGGACATCATGCTTGCTAAAACGGAGAGTCAGTGAAAAAGAGGACCCCCTACAAGATGGACTGACACAGTGGCTGCAACAATGGGCTCAAACATAACAATGATTGAGAGGATGGCACAGGACTGGGCAGTGTTTTGTTCTGTTGCTCACAGGGTCTCTATGAGTTGGAAGCGACTCGACGGCACCTAACAACAACTGTCATATGGGAACTTAGAAACAGCAGATATACAGCAAATATTTTGAAGATAATGGGGCAGAATGATTTCCAATATTTCCTCACTGTTAACATTCCCATGATTCATTCCTCTGGTATGTTCCTTGGATTAAAACATGGTGAAGAGCTCCAAATAACTCACTAGTTTATTTTTTACCAAGTATTTATTGAACACCAGGCACTGGACTAGGCATTCATCATTCAAAGATGAAAAGACAGTATTCCTAACCACAATTAGCTCAGTCTAACAGAAAAGAGATGTAACTGAATACCTAGCACCTGAATCTAGCTTCTAAATTACATTCTCCACTAAAAGGAACCAGGGCTCCATGGAGAAATAGCTGATTTCCAAGCCTAGGCCAGAGAAAGAACAAAATGAGCCTAGAACATCTTGTGTCAAAAAGTACTCAGAAAATAGAGACTTCCAGGCAACATGGCGCTATAGTCAGAAGCACCACGCTGTCCCTCTGCAGCAAAGATCTGAAAAACTAAGTCAAACAGAGTCCCATGTCAATCCTGAAATCCTAAGCATCAAATGAAGAGATAAAGAACTCACCCTAGCACTGAATGGAATAAGAAACTGACTGAGAACAGAGAGCGAGGAGTGATACATGCAGAGGTCCCCTATCAGCTACCACAGCACGGATCCACCATCTTGGACTCCTATCAGAGATCAGTGAACAGGGGGACAAGAAAGCAGCTTCATGGAGCTTCCAGCAGGAGACAGAACCGGTAACCAGTGATATACACTTTCCCACCCCCACCCTTCTTTACCCCAACTAGGCCTCCTCTGCTTCCTGCAGCCACAGTCTCTTGGCCGGAAATACCAGCTTCAACCTAGTGTTGCTTGGATTCCACCTGCCGACATTGGCTGGCTCCCTGAGAGCCATTTGTTGGCTGCTGGTGTTGCTTTCTTCTGCTTCTTTAGATTTCTTCCTTATCTCTCACCACCTCCCCCTCCTTTCTCTCAAATACCTGGCTCCGTGCGCCATCTTTGCTTCTTCCTGAAAGGCTGCGAAACACCACTCGACTGTGA